AATGCAACAGACGCTCGGTATAATTACAGAGTCTTTGATGGGGGGAGGTATTATAGGTATTATCGACCTTAATGATATTTGGCAGCACAGAGCTGACTGCGAAACTTATTGATTCTTAAGTAACCTTGACCCAGAATAATCTTTTGAGGACCTCGAGACTAATTTAGTCCCGAGCCCTGTCTCATATCATAGAAACTGTTTCATCCTTAATTAAAGTCAGTCGAGTTAAACATGCTTATTATGGAAACCTCCTTCGAAAGTGTATTAGCGCCTTGGTATTCAGCAAACTGTTCTACTGCTCATCAGTGTGCTCCAACACTTCCTGAAAAAACATCCCATAAATGTATTTGGACCAAAACGTTGCCACGTATATTGTGACAAGAACAATTAAGTTCCATCGTGTTCCGCCTTCACCGAAAGGGCTATGCTAGCCGCCAGGTAAACAATGGTTAAACCTTAGTAACGCTATTGTGACATGTAAATGCATGAATGATCGGACGTGCACCCATTTACGAAAACGTTTTGAAAGCCGCTAAAGAATTTTAATACATTTTTCAAGAAAAATAACAATCGATCGTTAATCATCAATCATCAGCGATCATTTCTAGCATATGGTCCTTGTCAAGCCCCAAGGGAAGGGTGCTGTTAAGTATTGCAGGGGATGTGTTTTATTATGTTTTGTTCTATCACCTTAAACATTTGTACCCTGGTAATTCTTAGTTGAATGCATCTCTTTCCAAAGTGGATGTTTATTTTTAACTTTTTACTCAGTTAACATCCTTAAACAAACTTTTAAGTCATAAGAAGATGCCAGGGTAATAGCCCGTATCCAAGCTGATCCTTTGGTTTTGGCCAATTAATGGTCATTATACAAGACACGTACTGAGCCAGTTATATCACAAACGTGAATCACTTACAATATTTTTAACTCGGAGAGGTTTTTGAACCTTGGCAAGTGCTGAAGTTTGTTACTGGAGAGTAAGCTGTGAGCAATATATAAAGTGAAAAAAAAGTCGGTTGAAATAGAATTTGAGATTCTTGGAAAGGTTCTTGTTCTCTCCGAATAGACAGGTCTTTAACTTAAATGAAATGAAACCCAATTGATTCTGGCAAAGCTATTTTGAAGACTTACAACGTTCTACTCATTTTTGCTGAGTA